AAGTAATTCGAGGAGTTGACTAATTATCTGATTTCTTAAGCTGAAAGGGAAAAATCCAATTTTATTATTTTAATTCTAATAGTTCCTTTTCTTTTCTCCCCTCTACCCGTTTTGTGTGCATGTATCTGGTTTGTGTTGCTTGCATGAGTGGTACGGGCAGGAATATGACATACTAGTAAGAAAATTTAGATATTGACATGTTTTATACATTTTCCTTGTATTTTAAGATCACATTGATTTTTTACTCTTTGTATTTTTGTTTCATGAAGGAGGTTTCTCACATGCACCTGACAAGTTAACTTATGGTGTTGATATGAAAATGATAAGGTGGTGTGGCATTCTTCAGGTAATGTTAGTTTGCAATTCTTGGTGCTGTGAGGTTTGATTGAATAATTTAATTATCCAGTTTTGATTTATGTAGTGATTCACTTTGATCTTTCTAGAGAATAGCACTTACTTATTTGGTAGTGGCACTCATGGAAATCCTTATGAGAGATGCAGTGGCAAAGAATCTTTCATTTGGCAGGTTATCTATATTCAGGTTGTACTACTGGCATTGGTAAGTTTTAGCAGTACAGATTTAGTTTATTGATATAGTAATATATGAGGTTTTGTGGGAAAAGAGTTTGATTTTTTTCGGTTTCCTTATCTGCAGGCTAGTGGCTGCTTGTGTACTAGTTGTTTACTTTTGTGTTCTTTATAGTGCCTATGTACCGGATTGGCAATTCACTGTTCATGATGAGGATAGTTCCGATTATGGGAAGATTTTCACCGTAAGTCTTTGTTCATTGATTGACCATCATTTATTATATAAAAAGTTTTTTTTTTTCAACGTTGGTTTAAGTTAACAAAATTTCTTTAGTTTTAAAGAGAGTTCGTCCATCCGCATAGGTGAAATACTTTTTAGAGAAAAAATTTTTTGAAGGAATGATCCTTGTGAGGGAATTTCCCTATGGTTTATAGAAGGTCATTTATCCCATATCCCAGAATCATAAATATCCCTCTATGGTATTACTCTTTTCCGATATGGATCTTGAAGACGTAAGATTGTTTTCATTGGGTGTTTGTTTCTTTCTTCATCCTTGTGATGGTCCAATTTGAATGGAGGATTTGCAGTCATCGAGCTTACAAATTTCATGGAATTCTTAGGATTTCCTCCCGACTAATATTTACTTTGCAGAATCCATAGGATTTCCACCCATCTAATGTTCATTTTCAGTTAAATTTTAGGTATCATGTGGTGTGAGGGGAAAACTTAATCCTCCTTGCAATGCTGTTGGATTTGTTGACAGAGCAGTATTGGGAATCAATCATATGTATAAACATCCTGCATGGAGGAGATCTAAGGTGTTTCGCATGGGCTTCTACTTTTTTAAGCTCTTCTTGATCATCTTTCTGATTTTGAGATCACTTGTTTGTAATTAATGACATGTTTTTAATTGTTTAGTATTTATCTTAACTGTTGTAGGAATGCACTCAGAATTCCCCGTATTCAGGACCTTTCCGAAATAATGCTCCATCATGGTGCTATGCACCTTTTGAACCTGAAGGAATTTTAAGGTCTATTTGCATCATTTACATTACAAACATTTTAATGAAGCTGTTCAACTATTGATAATTAATCTACTGCAGCTCCATATCTTCTGTTCTTTCTACAATTATCGGAGTGCATTTTGGAAATGTGCTTATACATTTCAAGGTTAGATTCATGGCCCTAGATTGATATTTATCTGGATCTTATCAGCTTGGCTAAAATCCTTGGCAAAAAATTTCCAATTGCAGGAGCATTTAGCTAGACTGAAGCATTGGATGATAATGGGAACTTCTCTCCTTGTTTTAGGACTTGCTTTACATTTTACTCATGGTGAGAAACTGAAGTGTGATTCTCTCTGGTGTATATATTTATGCCCGTTAATCAACACTAAACTGTTTTCGATTTTCAATTGCAGCCATTCCTTTCAACAAACAATTATACACTTTTAGCTATGTTTGTGTAACTTCTGGAGCGGCAGCACTGGTTTTTTCTGCCATCTACATACTGGTATGTTGCTGCTCTAAATTCGAAGCAGATCTTGTATGAGATAATCAGTTTTTTTTCTTTTTCAAAAATTTAAGAGTTAATAATATGTCACCGGATTTATTACTGCTCGTGATACAGAATACAGAGGGCAAATAACCAAAATAGAATACTTAATAGATTTGCAGAAAGAGACAAGAAGTACCTTAGTTATAATTTGATCTTATATTCAAATTTGGCAGGTTGATATTTTGGATTTCAAGTATATGTTTCTGCCATTTGAGTGGATTGGCATGAACGCTATGCTTGTTTACGTTATGGCAGCAGAAGGAATTTTTGCTGGCTTCATTAACGGATGGTTTTACGATGATCCACACAATACACTGGTCTGTCTTCGTGTTCGTGTCATGTCTTTATGCCTTCTTGGAAATTCTGTTTCCATAACCATTCTCTGCAAAAGCAATTTCACCATTCTAGTTTCCTTTTCCAAGATCTTGTGTGGCTGTTACAGTATTATAAAATTGTTCATTAGATATCTGGACCGATTTTTTGCAGATACACTGGATTCAGAAGCACGTATTCGTTGGAGTCTGGCACTCGCAAAGAGTAGGCATTCTGCTTTATGTCATCTTCGCGGAGATCTTCTTCTGGGGCATCGTTGCAGGCATTTTCCACAGGATGAATATCTATTGGAAGCTTTAGACTACGATTGTAAAATTTATTTTTAAAATTTACACTTACAGTAATTATAGAAATCGTGTAATTTCTTTTTAAAATAATAAAAATTAATGTCACGAGGAAATTTCATGTAAATTTAGAGAACTATTTTTTTATCTGAATTAATCTAATTTTTTCTTTTCTGTCCAAATTAAATTAGAGAATTATTTTATTAATTAAATTTTAATATAAAGTATGAAAATATTCTATATAGTTAGAAAGGCTAATTAATTAGGGTTTGTAATTAAATGATATTAATGGAAAGTATAAATTATGAACGAATTAATTGGGCCTTAAGCCCAAAATGACAAAGCCCATTAAAGGGGCCAGTGGCCCACGGAAGCGAGGGGCATGATGGTCTTTTTACCATTT